CCAGCTACCATACATACTATATGACCTACTCCAAACCCATAGGTTCGGTGTGTCCATTGGCAGTGCTTCTGTTGCAGTGAGGAAGCTTGTTGAGGGGAAGAAAAGGCTGAGGAGAAGAGGGAGCACAGGACTACTTGGCTTTGTTGTTGAATAAGCAGATTAGGTCTGTTCATGGGTGGGGAAGCTGGGAATGGAATTACTTTGGTTTAATGGTAGAGTTGGTGTTAGTTTTAAAACAACCACAAAAGGAAGCCCAAACCTTCACATTCACTTTTTCACTCCATGCCTTTAGGTTACCTTGAATTTGAGGTCTGTGAAAACATTCTTCTAGCTGTGGCTTTGAAACAGAGACCCTGAAGGGGACATTGTGAAGATTAAAGATTCCTTCAAGAGAATGAAGAAGAGCAGACAGCCAGGATTTCCCAGAGGTGAGAGCTGGTGCAGAGCCTTGGTGCTTTGTAGGAGCTCTGAATCTGCCACTGCTGATGGCCAAAGGGAATAAAAATGAACATCTGCCATCTGTGGCTTTAGACCAGAGAGGGGTGATCCATCTTATTCTAGCAATGAGAGTCTGATTTAAAGCACTTCGTGCGCTGCTTTTACTGACATTAGAAGGGCACAGATGCTAGGTAGTGGCTCTATTTTTAGGAGCTTGCTTGGGATTATAAGCCTACAATACAGTAATGGATAGGGAGCCAGTCTCCCTTGAAGGAAATTAGTTCAGAGGCTTTTGTGGAAGCCAGAGTAAAGGGATGGCTGTAACAGTGCTGCAGTGAGTGAGGCTCTGATCCAGGCTCTGCTTCCACCATACACAAATGCCTCCAGTTCTTGGCCTTTCTCTGCTCTGGTGGACATTGCCTGAATCCTAAAACACCCAAACTGTCAAATGCTAGGGGAAAGCAGTTTAGGGACCAACACCTTGAAATACCTCCCTCAAAAAGCAGTGGCCAAGTTGCGCAGATGTGCTGGGATATTTCTATTCTATTTCCCTGAGTAGGAGGATTTAAAGGAGCACTTTAAAACCAAAGCCAGTGTTAGTTTTAGGCACAACAGCTTAACTACCTCAGAAGTTTTTTGCAGCCATTATAGAGCAGATCTTTACAATGTCCACCCCTTTGTCTCACATTTAGGGACACACAGTCAATCTCATTGCCTTAAATATCATCTCTATTTTATGTCCATTTAGTCACAGGATATCACAGGTTTTAGTGCCTTTAAATGAGCAAAACCCCTTTTCCTTGATGCAATTCTTCCTTCAAGGGGCTTGGAGCAACCTGGTCTAGGGGAAGGTGCCCCTGCCTGTGGCAGGGGATTGGAACTGGATGAGCATTAAGGTTCCTTCCAACACAGACCAGTCTTGGGTTCTGTGAATTCCTTGTTTTGATTTGCTTGCGTGTCTGTGGCTTTTACTTTCCCCATTAATCTGTCTTTAGGTCAACCTAGGAGTTTCTTACCTTTACCCTTCCAGTTCTCTCCTGCATCCCACCAGGGAGGAGTGAGCAAGTGGCTGTGTGGGGCTCAGTTTCTGGCTGGGTTTAAACCATGGCAACTGTCAAGGCTCGAAGGAATGTCTCCGTGCAAAGACCTGGCCTTAGTAGTCTTAGTCAGACATCCTCCTATCCTCAGCTCCTCACTCCTCCTCACTTCAGAATAAAAAAGCCCTGAGAAAATGAACAGTTCATACGTGTATAGTTCAAAAGAATACAAATAATCATGTTCCCAAGATTTACATTTATTCCTGGTATAATCTTCCCCATTGCGGAAGTTTGTCTTAACCTCTACAACAGCCTGCAAATGCTTTGCCCAGTAGATTGATGTGCTCTGTCAGTTAGCTGGTCTTAGTCAGAGGATGACTTGGCTCTGCTCCCCTGAAGACAATAGAAACATATGGGATATTATGGGAATAAAATCTAAAACAAATCAGAGCCTATAAGACCAGCATGATGGCTAATTCTTCCCAAGATGCAAAGTTTAAAAACAATTAAGACAGAGGCAAAAACTGTTCTAGCAAACCCATCTCCATGTGCAAATTTACTATTAGCAATTGCAAATTGGACAGTGAGTTGAAATGCTCCCCAGTGAAAAAGGGGAAAGCACAAAAGCTTGTGCCCCTCTCAAATCTTGTTTGTCTCTGTGGTACTTACAGAGCCCTCATTAATGAGGTATTTAAGCATGTTACAACCTCATTGCAGCCCATGAGAACAGCATTCATTTTGCAGCATAAATTGAAGTACAGGAGCTATGTTAACAGTTAACTTGGCTCAGCTGTCCTGGGAACAGCAGCCTGCGGCATCCCACAGCTCAGATCTGCATATCCTTGTTGCCATTATGGACCGGCTGCATTGCAAATCTCATCTGCTGCAGTGGAAGGTGACAAGATCCTTTTAAGATCTTTGGGCCACTTTATCTCCCCAGGTTCAGTCATTATGTGAATCTTTACAAAGCAGGAACGTGGGGGACAGGCACAACCCCAGTAGCCCATCTATCTTGTGTTCACAGCCTGATCCACCCAGGAGCATCCACATCCTCCACTGAGTGAAGAGCTGGGGCCATCTGCAAGTCAGGCCTCTGGCTATGCCTCAGGGGTAATTCTTCACTTTACAGCAGATGCAGCTCTAAGTGCAGCTTGTTCAAGGACAGGCAGAAGCTCTGAGGCCCCCCAGTATAATGGCAACGCTCAAGCGAGTCCAGAGGAGGCCACAGAGATGGTGCAAGGGCTGGAGCAGCTCTGCTCTGGAGCCAGGCTGAGAGAGCTGGGCTCGGTCAGCCTGGACAAGAGAAGGCTCCTGAAGGGGAGACCTGAGAGCAGCTCCAGTGCCTGAAGGGGCTGCAGGAAAGCTGGAGAGGGGCTTTGGACAAGGCCCTGTAGGGACAGGCCAAGGGGAATGGCTTGAACCTGCCAGAGGGGAGACTGAGATGAGCTCTTAGGCAGAAGCTCTTCCCTGTGAGGGTGCTGAGGCGCTGGCCCAGGGTGCCCAGAGAAGCTGTGGCTGCTCCATCCCTGGCAGTGTTCAAGGCCAGGTTGGACACAGGGGCTTGGAGCAAGCTGCTCCAGTGGAAGGTGTCCCTGCCCGTGGCAGGGTTGGAGCTGGGTGAGCTTTAAGGTCCCTTCCAGCACAAGGGGAGCTGGGTCTCTTTAGCTTGGAGAAGAGGAGACTGAGGGGCGACCTCATCAATGTTTACAAATATGTAAAAGGTGAGTGTCAGGATGATGGAGCTAGGGTTTTTTCAGTGATGTCCAGCGATAGGACAAGGGGCAATGGGTGTAAACTGGAGCATAGGAGGTTCCATGTGAACATCAGGAAAAATTTCATTACTGTGAGAGTGACAGAGCACTGGAACAGGTTGCCCAGGGGGGTTGTGAAGTCTCCTACATTGGAGATATTCAAGGCCCGCCTGGACAAGTTCCTGTGTGATGTACTCTAGGTTACCCTGCTCTTGCAGGGGGTTGGACTAGATGATCTTTGAGGTCCCTTCCAACCCTTGGGATTCTGTGATTCTGTGATTGTATGAAATCCAGCTGCAAGTCCTCAAAAGCCCAGGGGAGTTGGCTATAGCCGAGGTCCTGGGCCCTTTCTGCCAAATGGGTGTCTCTTTACACCTTGCAAAAGTCTCTGCCTTGGACTGTGGGGCAGATTGAGTGCAATTCAGAGAGGTGACATTGAGGATACAGTCCCCAGGAAAAAGGAGCAGGTTTCCCAAAGTGATGTTGAAACCTTACCTCAGAGCTGAAGTAGCCATTGGTAAACTCAGGAAGAGGATTAGACATTGTGCTCCTGATTGCAGGCACTGGTAAGGGGGTAAGGATGACCCGGGAGGGCCTTTTTCAACCTAAATTCCTGTAGCAGTCCATCATCTTTTGAGAACAAATCTTAGATCACTACTGAATTGGGGCTGATTTCCACCCTGTTTGTGAATGCTCCTTGCTTTCCCTTGTGGCTGAATACTTTGCAGATGAATCAGTGTAGAGGAAAATTAAGTCCTTTGGCTTTTTGACAGAGAAAGGTGTTTGAAAGTCATGGCTCAAAGATACTTGGTAAATAAGATACCCAAATACAGTGTTTGTATTATATACGTAAATAAGATACCTAAATACAGATTTGTTTCATCCCTGTTAGATGAACTGTCAGGTGGGTTTGAGGAAAGCCCCAAAACAAGGCAAAGGTAGGACAGTAATACATGAAAATATTGGTGAATTCACATGGAAGTCAGGAAGTTTCCTATTTGCCCCACAGTGCTTCTCTGAATTGCTTTAAAAGCCAGGAATTAAAGACCATCTTCCAGTGTTCACCATTTTCCATATCTGGAATACATTTAGCAATAAATTGACCATGAATTTTCAGTTCTCAACTTTCATCAGGAGTTTTGGACGTGAGATTTTCTGCCCAGGCTGTGAAAGGTAAGAAAGTTTGTTCGATGAACAAGTTGTTTTAGTATGGACCAGTGACGTTAGGCAAAGATTTCCTTCCAGGAGCAGCTAAACTCAGCAGCTTCCATGCCATGTATCTGAGCATCAAACTTATTTGCTATTGCTATGACTTTAAACATGTTGTTTAATCAGTCCGTGCCTCAGTTTCCCCTTCTATGCAGAGAAAATACATACATGTCCTCACACCTTTGGGTAGTTCACTAATCCATATAGACAAAACCCACCAGCTAAAAAGCAATGTTAAAGGTGTCTTATTCTGTTTTGTTGTTATGTTTTGAGTTTATTTTAATTGATTTTAATATTATTTGCCTTCCTGTGGAGCCAGTAAATCACAGTTGTGGGTAACTTTGAGCAGCCCCAACATGCAGACCCTCTTCCCTGCTCAGGGGAGCTGCAGGGAGCTTGTGGAACAGGAGGCAGGTGTCTTCACGGTCACTGTTGCTGCCTTCCAGCATCCCATGCATATCCATTCATTCTGGCTCATTTTGTTCATTTGATAATGTTTCTGCTTGTCTATTTTAAACATCCAGCTCTTGTCTTGCTCATTCACAATGAGCGCTCTGGGGAAACATCCCTGTGCCGAAACAGAGAGTAACAGCCTGCTCAGAAGGAAAACATACTCTGGATATGGAAACACTGGAATACTGCAGACCAAATGAAAATGCTTATTAAAAAGCAGGGGATAGCTTCCAATATAGAGAGCACTGGAACCTGTTGCTGGTAAGATACCGTGCACTGGGAGGGAGGCAACAGGAGCTTTTTGATGTCTTGTCACCTTAAACAGGCACAGTCTAAAACTCACCTAAATGACAAAGCAGCCTTGGGCTATGAAATGAAGCAAGTCCGAAGCTGTGGGGAGAGTAAAAGTGGAGAGTCCTTGGAGCTATTTATTGCTCTAGAATATATGCTGCTGGGAATATGCTTATGAAGAATGTAAAATAAATTACCAGCAGACTAGAAATCCATCACACACAGTAATTCTTGGGTGTGATAATTCCTCCTCTCAGGAGGTTTACAATTCAGAACCTGTTTCAAAGTCGGTTCCTCAGTGGCATCAAAAATCTTCTTTGCTGCTTTCCCATAAAGACCAGTTGACAAATGTATGACTCGTCATGGGACTAGGAAGGTTTATTTCTATGTATCCAGATGTATGAAGATCCCCCTTCTCCTGCCTCCAACTTTGGCACTTTTTTCTGAACCTCTTGTTGATACCTGGAAGGGAAAGAAGAGAAAGGGAGGGATCCCTGGGACTCAAGCAACCCTTGCTGTGTAATCGGATGTAGTTTGTTTGCAGGTTACATTATCCCATCTGGGCCCAGTCCTGCTCACCTCTGCAGCCTGGCCTCTCTCATCACCTTGCAATGCTGTAAGACCCAGCAGCCTCATGCAAACATGGTTTTGGGGACTGGGGTCAGGCTGTGCAATGCGCTTTGCCTAGGGCCGTTCTTGTGTCTACCTTGTATGCAGGCAGAAATGTGTTCTGGCTGGGAGCTCTCAGAGTCTCTCCATAACTATTTTTACACCCATTTTATGGCTTCAGGTAGCATGGAGCAAGAGGATGTAAAATGACTATACTGTAATTGAGAATTAAGCCCTATAGATCACAAGAAATCTGTTAGCAAACACCAACGTGGTAATTAGAGGTGCTTAAGTGTTTGTGGATATGGATAATGATGTTTCCGTAAAAAGATCAATTTTTCCATGGGAAAAAAAAAATAATCATTTTGTATAAAATCAATGCATATACTTTTCTCTTTCATCAAGAATATTTAAACAAAACATGTCATTCCAGTCTAGTGGATCCAGATCAAACTATCTCGGAGCATTAAGCCAAATCAAAACATGTCATTTTCAGTTAATTCAACGTTTCTTTGTGTTTACCAGCGCTGGTTCAGTGCCCTGCAGGAGCCTTGCAGTGTTATGTGCAGCCCTCCTGCTGCCCAGGGAGCGTGGTGGATCATCTGCCTCCCCAGGCAGGGCAGAGGGACAGGGACCCGTCCCTCCGAGGCTGTGCTCTGCAGGAGAGCTGGGAGATGATGCTGGCTGAAGGCCAGGCAGCAGAGGTAAGCAAGCTGCTTGGCTGCAGCACCCGTTCAACAAGGCAAAGCAAAACCTCTTGATTTATGTATGTAGAAATGTTTCTAAAGAAAACTCATTGAGGTCGTGGGGTTTTCTGATGGATGAGACTCCAGTTTGCAATGTTCTCTAACGACACTTGCCCATGACTCATATTTGATTTGCTTTTTCTTTACGCACATCTCCCACTGTGCTACACCTTGCTGTTTTCTGGTCTGTACCAGCCCTGGCCACACCAGGAGAGACCGCTTACAAGCCCTGCTTTGCAAATCCAGAATCATTTTAAGATTCAGCCATACCTGAATTCCTTTTCCCTCTTCATCTAATTTGCAAAGCTTCACAGATAACTTTTGTAGCTGGAGGCTTGCACAGACACCCAGCACCATTCTAACTGCACCCTAATAATAGATGTCTAAAAGACTCAGAATAAACAGTCTCTTCATCTTATAGACTGATAGAGTAAGATCTGCCTTTAAGCTACCTCCTTTAAGTGAGTGAAATCCTGTGGATCTCCATGAATTTGCGTAAATATAAAACTCAGGCATCACTGTGTATGAATCTAATTAAGCAAAGGCTATTTCTGCACATATCATTTGTGAACAGTGGTTGTGTTCAAGTGAAATGTGAAATGTGGATTCACTTTAATCCCAACTTTGCCCCTAGTGAGGAGCAAAGCTCATAGGGCTGCCCACAGATTCTGGTTTTATTCCCTAAGCTGTGGTATTAAAGCCATGACAGATTGGGATAGCTGACAACCACTGAGTTCGCCTGAGTAGATGAGGAATGCTGACTTTCCCTCCCAGGCCCACTGGGTACCAAATGTGATTAAAGGCAACTCAAGAAGGACTGTGTGCTATTAATTCTATAGAGGAGATCTCTTGTGTTATTCATTACATGTATACAGCTTATTCTAGGAGGAGGGAAAATGGAAAAGCACCTTTGGTTTTATTGTAACATCTGAATACAGCCAGCTCTTTTTCTCTGTGTCCCACTTATTATGTGCAATTTGTATGTTTTCTTCTCCATCCTCAGATAAAAAAACCCAACAAACCCCAAGCAAAACAGCTCTAAGGAGAAGAAACACACAATGCTTGTTATTACCAGGACAAAACTCCCACTCCTTCAGTACTGACCAAGCTGTGGCTGTAATATTTGCTATCATCTGTCAGTCTTCACATAATCAGGTAATTTAATGTAATTCCTCCACTTTCAGTCAAGCCTGGTGAGCAGATGGTGGAACTCAAGCCTGTAGCTTTTGTCTAATGGTGCTGCCTGATTTCCAGACCTAGAGCCGGCTGCTGGTGCCGTCGCTGTGTTCAGGGCAGAGCTGAGCTCTGCTTATGCTGCTGCAGCGTGGGCTTGGGAAAGGGGAGAGCCAGGGCTGGGTCATCAGCTTGGCAGCCTGCCTGGATGGAAGCAGGATTAAACACCTTCCCTTGTGTTAATGACTGGAAGCATCTCTTGCTGTGTGACCACAGAGAGGTGATGGGTATGCTGAGATGAGGCAGTACAGGGGTTCACAGGGAAGTGGGATTTGGTCATAAAATGCTGCTGCTGCACCTTCCTGTGCCCAAGTGGAGCAGCAGCACTGCTGGGGTGTCAGCACTGTGCTCTGAGCAGGGCATTAAACACAGAGCCACTCTGCTTGCCACCAGAAGTCAGTTAATGACAGCAGTTTGGACAGAAGCTTGACGGTGTCTCCAGCACTGAATAAATACTTTGCAGAGCAGTTGCTGTGTTCCAGAGCCATGATGCTGCCATCAGCATCTCAGCTGATGAGAAGGAGCAAACACATGGGGGTGAAGGAGCACAGATGTCAGGGGTTTGTATGAGCTGTGCTCTGTTTTGATTCATAAGTTTGGCCAAGAATGTGATGCCCCGTGTCTTATTTCTCTTGTCTAAAGAGCAGCAACACTCAGCTTCCATGCTGAAAAAGGTGAAAGTTAAACCATAAATAGCCATGAACTGCTTAGATGAAAAGTAGTGAGGGAATTTGAAATGTTTGTTACTTGGCAAGATGGAAGCATCCATTTCCAGACAGCTGCTCCAAAATAACATTGTCCTTTTGAGAAATGGAAAGCATTGAGTGCACTGCCTGTGTGCGGAGAGGATGGCAGACCAGCTTCTCCTGGGATGTTTGTCTCCACCAGCTTTCTTTGGGAAGCACAGCTTGGCACATCTGCTGCCCCAGGGCTGGGCTTTAATAGCTGCATTTCAAAACACATGACATCTCTGTCCAGCGTTGCCTGGCTTGCTGCTGCCTGTGCCCTCTCATTTGCTTCCAGCTTCTCCCCTTTGCTTGACTAGTGTGCCTGGCCCACAGGCAGCTTTGACAGACAGCAGCGCACTTGTGTGTGTGTGTGCACTGCTGAGGGTTATAGGGCTTTGAGCAACGTCAAGTTAGATGGACTTGCTGCTAAGGATTGCTCTATTAAGTGATAACTGAAGATATATAATCTTCCCATGCCTTCTGCCAGAGGAGGGCTGAATGTGGTTGCTTGGCATTAACATTACATTAATTTCCAATTCTGAGTTGCTCAGCACCCCAAGAAACATCTGGAGAGTTACCTTGAAGAAAGCAAACCTGGTGTATCAGTGTTGCACAAACAGCAGTGACATCTAAGGAGAGCTGCACCGTGCTGGAGATTAAGAAGGCACAGCATGTGCCTCATGTGTTCCTCCTCCTATTTGCTTCAGGATTTCTCTTGCTAATGCTGTGGCAGCTGGGGAAACACGGCCGCTGCCAGCACACTGCTGCTTCTCAGGAGCGGGACAGAGGGTCCAGGGGCTGGGGATGGCTGAGCATTGCAGAGCACAAGGGTCGGTGGGGGCTCTCCTAGGGCTGCAGTGACTCTCACTGCCATGCCTGAGGAAGGCTGCTTGTTGCTCCCATAGAGCTGTGCTATGAGGCACCATGTGCCTGTCACAGATCGTGGATTTCTGTTCAATTAGAAGGACTGAAAGGTCTCCTTGAGGAACTCATACCTCCTACACAGGTGGTTGTTTTGGAGTGACTAGAGCCTTGTAAGCAAAAAGGCACAGATACATGGATATATAGATGCACATGCATTTGTGTACTGGGGTTCTTGTGTGCTGTGATGCCATTTGTACAGACGCTTCCCAGACTGGATCAAGGCAGAAGGTGAGCTGTTTTCTGCACACATGGCCACTAAGCCTGTGAGCTTTGCAGGCAAAGCTTCACTAGGCTGTTGGAAACATTATCCACTAACATGGAGAGATGCATTTTGTTTGGTGGGAAATGTGACAGAAACAAGAAGGGAGACAGACACGTTTCTGTGCTGCTTTTGTTGCATGTGTTCGTGTTTTGACAGATGGCCCTTCTGCTCCCTGGTGCCCATGACGGCTGCTCTGACACGTGTGGTTGGAGGACTTGCAATGACCAGAGGGCTCCACTAACACCTTGCTTCCTCCTCCCATCTCCAGCCATGAAGATGAGAGATTAATTCTCAGCTGTGATAGTCATTGTCTTCTTGTGCAGCTTCATCAGGAGCAACACAGACGCAGGCTTGTCTGAACCTTGATGATAAGCTCTCCTTGTTAAAAGCCATTATATTTGCTACTAGCTGAGTGTAATTCTGACTGACTACTGCAGTTCTCCTTTGCATGTAATTGAATTCATATTCATCATAAAGCAATGAAAAATAAATTGTGTGTGTGTTTTTTTTCCTCCTCATAAAGCAAGGAATGCCGCTGGCTCTGCCTTCTCTGTAATCTTCCCCTTTGCAACGTATGGTAATAGAATTCATGGGAACAGAACAGCCAAAATAGATTGTGTGGTTTTGACCCACCTAGCAGAAAGCAAGCTTCATTTCACTGCCAAGGATGAATTGATTAATTCAGTTGGCTTCAAAGGAAAGCTAAAGTGTGAGTTTAAGATGCCTCAATACTAAAGAACAGTGCTGGCTCGGTGGCAGACTCACTATGGTACTGTGGCAGAGGACCTGCACCTTCAGGTTGTTGTGGGGTTGCCAAAATACGCCACTAATCAGTTGATTTGAGTCCAAGATCTTAAAGACTCAGTGTGTTTCCATGCAAGGTTTCCAACTTCAAGCCTCTGTAACTCATGCAAAGCATCCAAGTTCAACAGAATCTGCTAGTCCTGTGTGTCAGCTGAAGGACTCCATTGTGCCATGGTTATTTGCTGTCCTCATGGCAATGACATGAGCTTGGGGCTTGGGTATCATGATTGAGAGCATAGAGCACTGCTGTATGAGATGGTCATTCCCTTACACCTCATTCCTGCCATGAATGGTGACTTACATTGCGTTGGTCTACTGCAAGACTTCAGAAGTCCTCCTCTGAAGCAGATGTCAAACCACTGGTGCCCTCTACATTCCTTTTAAAACCCCTTTGTCTGGACTTCTCACAAACAGCAGATAGTTGTTGGGGAGCTGGCCATTGCCTCCTCCCCATACGTGCTGACCTTTGTCTTTTGTTCTCCTCTCTTTGATATGATCCAGAAACCAGGAGCTAATGGTGCCTGTGAGCAGAGCTGCTACTGCATGGTGGAGGCCTGTCAGAAATGCTCTTGACAAGAAAAAGACACATTTCCTGCAGCCCCTGGCTTGCTCCCAGCTGTGGGATAGCTGCTCCAGAGACCAGACCAGACAGTCCTAATGCATCATAAAATTAGTGAGCTTTGTTCGACAAAGGGTCCAAATGTCTTTCCAGTTCATTATTAATTTCATTATGGTGAAATCATTAAGTACAGTTCAATACTGAAAGATGTTACTGCTGCAGTTTGTGAACATTAGCAAAAGAAGTAAAGAGGAGCTCATTGGTAACGAGTCCTAGGAGGTGTGTGAGTGAGCAGCAGGAGCTGTGAGGCTCCTGCTCCTCGGCCTGTCCTTTGTCCACTGCCTCCTCACAGCACTTGTGCTGGGAATTGTGTAGGAAGAGGGTGCCAAGCAAGGCAGGTATATGAGTAGCACCATGCTTGTGCTGCCCTGCATAGGATGTAATTTCTATCCTAAATCAGTGCTGGCTGCATAGCAGAAATTCCAAATCCTTCCTTAACCTCACCCATGTTGGCTGTCCTCCCTTCTCTGTTGCAGACAAATTGCCTTAAAGTCATAAAAAGGCGTAAAGCAGGGTTTTAGCCTGCAGGTTCCAGGGAAGACCTCTCTGCCATGGCAGAAATCCGTACCCATGACTCAGGAGAGGAAGATATTCCTCTCCAGTCCACCCAGATGATGGTGCTTGACCATACACTGGGATGAGGAGCGTTAACACATGACTGTGATGCAGGACAGTACAAGCAGCACCCTCCTCTAGGGCCCAGGTCACTTCTGCGCTGGGCAGTTTGCTCTCGTGGCCTTGTCCTAACTGAGGGAAGAGCTGATGCTCTGATGATATAATTACAGTCAGCAATTGTTAAAATAATGCATCTGTTTCTGCCCTATGGGGGAAGTTAAAAATGAAAACCTGCAAAAGGGAAATTTGATGCATGATGCATTAACTCTGCTGGGCATTTGACAGTCATCTCTAAATTAGAAGTCTATTTTGATGGCTGCTCCTCGGAGTATCATACTGTGCGTAAATACTCTTTCTGGTTTCACTCTTACAGTTTTGGTGTTTTCTATAGCTCAGGAAACATTCGCCACTGGAGATGGGAGTTCTCATGCAAGATCTGAAAAGTAGTTTCCTTAGGTCAGGACTTCTTCCAGGCTAGTAGAGGGGGTTCAGATGTCACCAGGAATAACCCAGAGGAGCGCTTTAAATCAAGTCTATATGTGATATGAGCGTATGATACCATGGTGGGCATCTTGTAATTTTGCCAATAACCCTCTTTTCTCCTGACAATGGAGCACTTCCAACACTGTTAAGAGCCAGAGAGTGACTAAGAAGAAAACCCAAGGGGAGTGAGGTGGATAAAAGAAGCAGGAACCCGAAGGCCCCGTACCTCCAGAGCATCGCAGGGGAGGGAATTGCCTCAAAGTCCTGTTTGGACTCACAAGGTCTGATGTTCAGGCCATACAGACTGAGCACCTGGATTTTCCCTTGAAACCACCAGATGGGGTAAGGAAAAGAATGGAAAAATAGCTGAAGTCCTGCTCCCATCCTGACCACACAGGCAGGATCTCACCTGGCTCCACAGCAGCAGGTGACAGTAGCAGCCATCCTCCCTCTGAACTACATCAGGAAGAAAACTAGCACATATTATCAGGTGCTTATGCTGATTGCATCCATGATCTGCCTGGTCAGCCTCTGAATGCCACTTCCCCTTGCCTGAGTCATTTAATCACCACTGCCAATCAGCACTATTGAAGGGAGCAACAATACATTTCAGAGCTCAATCACCTTTGTAATTGTCTCACTGTCAGCACTTGTGTCTCTCTGGAGGGCAGAATTAGTGACAGATGAGATGCAGGCTGTTTTTTCAAGTGAAATGTTCACTCCTATGTGTGTATGTCTCCTGAGCACACACATGACTATATATATATAAATGTATATATGTATGCTGTGCTTCTAATGATAGAGTCAGTGTTGGGAGCAGTAGGCACGCAAACACATATCCATGCGTTTAAACAGAATCTGCCATTTCTTAAATGCTCAGTCAGCAGGGAAATATGCTTAAGAACAAGAATGTTGCCAGGCTTACAGCAACACTAGTCAGTGTTTAAATGCACTCAGTGGAGAGGGCTCACACGGGGATGAGTCCACAGTAGTCCCTGTGCTGGAAGGTTTTCCTGGTGCTGAATTTCCTCATTGTCATCAAGTTGTGCAGGCTGCTCATTTTTGTCTTTTTAAATGAGCCCGGACTGGAGCCTCTGAGAACCTGCCCAGCTTTGCAGAGACAATCAGTCATGGGACAGACTATTCCAGCCCATGTGGGTGCAAAAACTTCCCCGAAGTCTTGCATTTCCCTGTAGGAACTTTCCATTTCCAAAGGTGGGTATTTTCCTGAAGAAACCTCTTCAGCTCAAAATTTTCCGGCACTAAATAGCTATCTACTCATTCTTTCCCAGCTTCCTGCCTGCTTTCTCTCTACTTAATCCCTCCTGACATGCAAAAGCCAGAGATAAACCTTCTTAGTCTCCATGATCTGAAGTGGTCTGTCTAGCACCCATCACACGTCCTGCCTTCAGTGCTGGGGAAAGCACAAGGAGCAATATGCCACTCATTAGCTGCGAGACATGCACACAGGCATCATCCATCCAGTCCTGCAGCACTTGTGCTAAATAGCATTGCTTGGATCATTAACTTCTGACCTGCAACGTCGTGCAAGGCTGATGGTATGTAACCCTCTGTTGCAATTCATCACCCAGCAATCTAGATACTAATTATAATCTGCCTCATATAAGCCACTAGCCTATAATTTTAATCCCGAACATTTGTGTGTGTAATGAGGCAATGCTTTTATGTCTGACATCGTGGTGTAAACCTGTGATTTGTAACATTCTGGAAATACAAAATCAAGTAAGAGGGAATAAAAATAACAGCAAAATTTTGCGTTTGAATTTGACATATAAAAGTGTTATGATGTCTTTAAAGTTTACAAGGAAAACAACTGAATGGGAATGTGTCTACATCAGTGTATTTCTGGTTTTATACACCTGCCTAAAAGTAACTTTCACTGTCCAGGCTTTCTTCCCTGGTGCTCAACAAAGCAAATCCTGATATCCACTGACCCAGAGGGAATGCTGTGAGGCAGATCAAATCAAAGTCATCCAAATGACCATGACTTATCAAGACGTAGTGTAAGTACAACGCTTTGCATGCAGAGCTGCTTCCTGCTGGCCAGATGCTTTTCCTGGAGGCTCTCAGTAAAACCTTTACTTTCCCTGTTGATGCCTTCTGGGCTGACCCACAGCCTGTGCTGGGACTCAGAGGGATGTGGGGTCCAGTCCTGACCCAGGTGGGGGTTTTATGTGCTGCACACGTAATTTTCAGGGTACAGATGCAGCTTCTGCTCTGTTATTGCCACCTCTAACAATGTCATTCCCACAACAGATATAACAGGGCCGACGGCTATGCAAGACTGTGGGACGTATGGGCTGGGGAAGAGTGAAGAAGTGCAAGCTGTAGGGAAATGTGGTCTTATTAACCTGTACTAAATCAGGAAAATGCCCCAAAGGGAGGAAGATCATCAGGAGAAATACGGGGACTCTGGGCACCTTTCCAACAAGGAACAGAAGAGCATCTGGGAGGGGGACTGTGGTTAGAGCTAGATGCCAGCACAGGAGAGGGAGACAGGATTAGCAGCACCAGTGGGTGAAAGGGCAAATACGTGGCCAAGTAAACCGTATCCTAAAATTTCTTGCAGCACAACACATATGCCACCGGGTCTGGAAAGTTTCAGGAATGGCATTTGGGAGAGATTGGTCCCAGGAGTGCTGCCGGTGCATCGCAGACTGACCTGGTATGAACAAGCCTGCAAACTCACTGCCCCTCAGCTGGGGCTTGGGCTCACCGAGAGCCCTAGTGCCAGCAGAGCTGCTAATACAACACATAACACACATCAACCCTTAGGTGATCAAGGCTGATGGGCCAAGCATTCAGGCTTTGCAGAGGGGAACGAGGGGCTTGAAGTGTGTTCTCTGATGACTTCTGTAGGTTTTTTTGGGGGGAAATAGTTTGTAATGGGCAACCCACCGGTTTAGCAGGCATGGGAGCTAGATAAATGCTATATTTAGGGGAGGGAGT